TGCATGCATTAAGATTGGTTGCACTGGCATTTAAAGGTGTACTGGTACGATATGTTCCAATCCACAGTAGACCATTGTGTGTAATGTTTAGACTATTTATATCACATGTGACATTTTCTCTTGAAACACTTTGACTGCAAGTACAGGTACCTTGTGAACTGTTTGTACTAAAACCAAGTGGACATTTGTCAAAAATATTATTAATACGCATGTATTTTTTATTGAAACGACCGCTTTTAATGTATAGTTTATATTTTCGATATTTAGTCAGTTTTGGCGTGTATGCAATCAATGAACAAGCATTGGGAATATATGTTTGATATTGCAAGAAGTTGGTGTTATTATATACTTTTACTATACCATCTGTGTGAGGAGCTAGTAATCCAGAAAAATTGTAGCCAAACAAAGCTACATAAAATTTCAATGCTTGACCTGGATAAATATGTTGATCAATTATAATATGATCATGCAAACAGTTGTTTATGGAAACATTTGGATCACAAAAGCATATATTGAAGGCATCACTTGTTGAACTAATTATTGGGTTTGTCAAGTTGAACTGATTGCGTAATTCTCGAAATCCATATGTATCACCACTGACTAGTCCAGCAGTATTATTTATTAATGTAAGAGTTGTATTTGGTTTTAATGATTTTATATCACTATCTGATGATTCTTCAACATAGATTCCTCCTCCTTTATAAGAAGCATGATTATCAATAAACTCTAAGTTAGCTGATGATGTGAGTATCAATATTGATGAGTCGTTTATTGCTAATCCTCCTCCAACTACTCCAGTATTGTTCTTGAATAATAAATTATTCTTAATTGTTACTAATGATGTTGTAAGACTTAATCCTGTTGAGGTACTGTTAGCAAAAGTAACATTACTGAGACTAATAGTATCACTGTTTATTATTGTATTTCCTCCATTTCCAATAAGTTCAGAATCTATTATATCAATTTGAGTGGATCTCAAAAATGTTGCATCAATGAATAATCCTTCATTTGTATTGTCATGTATCAAAACATGATTTAATAATAAAGTGATAGTTAATTTTTTCAGGTAAGAACGTGTCACTCTTAATCCTCAGTCCTTGTCTATTACAATAAAATTGACTGTCCTAGCTCAATTACAACTGTAGAAGTTAATTGATTATCAGGATATAGTGTGAAATGAGATGGACTTGATTCCATAAATTGAAAAGAAAAACCAAATTTGTAATTAACATCATGAAATGATGAATTGATAATAGAAATAGAAAAAATACTAGTACTTAATACTATTGCAGCAGAACTCCTGTGCTCAACATGATCAAAGATGATTGATAGATTGTATGAGGCACCATGGTTTACTAATAGTTCCATTCTCTTGCTAGTGTAGGTAACATTAGTCAGTATCAATGAGTAATGAGGTAAGTCATTGCTACATACAAGAAGAGGTGCATACTTAAAACTCAGAGTATAGCTTGCAATAAAACTTGATGATGATATCTTAACATCAAATGAATTGTACAAAATTAATCGACAAATGGATTTATCAGATTTAAAGGAAGAATTAGTTATTGTAATATTGTTGGACAACCTAAACTTTACTGAAAAGTTTAATAATGATATACTAGAAAAAATAACACAACTGCTTTTATGCATATAAATAGCCATATCATAACTATGGTAGGCTGTAAAGAATGAGTTAGTTATTGTAGTATTCTTTGATGAACTAACCTTCACTGAACAATCACTAAATGATATGTTAGAAATATTGACATTATCACTGTAGTATATTAAAATGCTAGACTCAGTAGCCCCCTTGCTAGTTTCAGAAACTTCCTTGCAGTTAATACTAGGAGACTGATTTAGTCCATGTAGAGTAACATTATTTACTGCAGTCATGTTAACAACATGATATTTGGTAAGGCTATTAGTTCCAATGAAGTAGAAGATGCTGTTGTTGTATTGAGACATATCCCCAGCATACACTGACAAAGGATTACAAGGTGACTGAGTAACTGAACTGCAGTCATCAGACACATAATACTGACCAGAGGAGACACTGCAGGAGCTACTGAAGAATAAGAGAACAACCACTAACAGGAGAGACATACTGTTGTAATTTAAGAAAGTAGGCTGAGTATCATGAACGAAAACTAAACAATAACTGACTAAATCAAAATGCATTCACTTAAATGCACACAAATTTTAATTAGGATATGTACAGGAAGTGGTTGCCAATGATTACACAACAATACATAACCTTTGAAACTAATTGCAATTAAGAACACAACAATATCAATAAGAAAGCCTGCAAACACTAAATTTGATGACAGTTTCCAATGGTTTACTACACACAAAAGAGTCTTGACTGACTAGACATTGTTTGAAAGGTGATATTATGCTTAAAATCATGGGCTGTAATATGTGTAGATCTATGCCTTATAATTATTATTATGTCAAACTAATTACATGTCATTTTTGTTAATAATTATTGTGCTGTACTATCCATCTTGTTATGTAGCTGTATATTACCAGCATTGGTATGGGCTGCTCAGGATTCTCTAGTTATGAAATTGCATAATTTTTTGTAATACAAATCCTACAATACAGTCTTGTGCCTCTAGTGTATAATTCAATTTAATTATCTCCATACATCAGCCATAGCTATGGACAGTTGAAATTACCTGATAACCAAACATAGTTTATCTATGTTTATGGACCTGTGTTTTATAAGGCTATCTGTTTATATATGTGGATAAGCATAATTAACAGTGGTTTTGGGTGTTCATGGTTCATGCATGATATAGTTATTCAAGGTTATATAATACATATGTATGTGGTGCATGATGAACAAACAAATGATAGCAATAAGAACAAAAGTAACAACACTCTGCTTTTGTTTTCCTCTCTTCCTAATTTTTCTCTCAATCTCCACTGGGCAATCACTAAATGATATGTTAGAAATGGTGACATGATTGCTAGCTGTTATAGACTCTTAAAACTGCTTTATTTATTGTATAAGTTGTGCAGTTAATACTAGGAGACTGATCCAGTCCATGTAGTAACATTCTTTAAGGCAATAATTTTAATACTATCATAGCTAATACTGCTTCCAATGAAGCAGAAGATGGTGTTATTGTATTGAGACATATTCCCAGCATACACTGACAAAGGATGACAAGGTGACTGAGTAACTGAACTGCAGTCATCAGACACATAATACTGATGAGAGGAGACACTGCAGGAGCTACTGAAGAATAAGAGAGCAACCACTAACAGGAGAGACATAGCTACTGTCTGGACTGACTAGCAAATGCACTCGTACACTCCACATGTCATGCATTCACTTATTTATAGATGGTTGTCTTTCTTTCTGTTTATATGTGGGTGGTTATTATTCCATAAACATGTTGACAGCACTGATTTGGAACAAACAGGAGAGGCATACTGTACTACGTCTGTCTTGACTGACTAGCACATCATTATTAGTGTGAGAGATGAAAATTATGGGTTAGGGTAGTTTATGCATGCTCCTTATGTCATTCACTTATAGAAATGGTTGTATTTTTGGACTATACTTCAATTCCTGTGGTTCATGAGTTACAAATGATAACCAGCTAATAATGAATTGGCTGCTGAACATTCTCTAAATGCCGTATAGTGGGTTTACCTTTATTATAATAAAAGTAAACCATACAATGTGTACAGTATGTACAATGTGTACAATATACAGTGCATATATGGTATTGGAGTCTTTGATTACTTTCTTCAGCTAATTGCATCTCTCTCCCTCCCACTCTCTCTCCCATTAGATGACATTAAACAGCTAATAGATGGTCATAATTGTGAAGCATCTCAGCTGCATCTGGATTCTGGAATGGCTACAAGAAGCTCTATCTTCCCAGCAATCCTGTAGCTATTCCTGCAGGTTCTTCCTGTTGTCAAGTTCATATTATCACTAGTATTATAAACATTAATTAATTGTTTTGTGTTTTTGAAATTAAATAATTTATTGCACACTTGATATATGCAAGATTAATACCTTCTCTTAGCTGGAAACCTCCACTAAGTATTGCAATTTGATTCCAAGCATAGCTAGCCTATAGCAGCTAGGTAAAATACTTGCTGTTCCCAGTTCTGAGATCTGAGCATGCGCGACCACGCCCAAATTTTAGAGCACATGCTTCTATAATTAACAAAATGGTGACATGAGGTAAGCTGATGCGATGCAACAGTCACAGTATCACTTCTTCCTTTCTTGGAGAATGATTCTAGGGGACAAGGACCTGCGCATACCCTGTTGAAGTAGAATGGTGTAATAATTAGCCTTCTATCACCAGGCAAGATCGATATATTGACCTAAAACTGGATTGACAGGACTTTCCTAATGATGATGAAGATGAAAAAAGGTGGCTGAACAAAACGGCTGGTTTGCAGATTTTTGAATTTTCTCCCAGAAAAGGTCTAGAGCCACGCTAGTGGTACCATTGGAGTCCTCTGGTCAAGATAAGGTCCTCTAAGAAGTCTGGTAAGCATAAGAGCTCGTTTTCCCGGTATAGCAAGGCTGCAAAAGTCGTGGCAGCCATTTTGTTTGGGGGTGAATCCTACTTAGTAACGCTACCGCGTTACTAATAGTACAGGGTTGCTGGCCAATTTCAGCAAAAATTATTAGGAGAGAAATTGCCATTTTCATAATACTTTCTGATGCATACACATGTCCTTATGTTGTGTAGCAAGTTTGGGCTGATTCAGATGAAAATTACAAGTTGTTACTCAAAAGCCATGTAGATGTATTACTGTATTGTAGTGCTTGTAATCTCTTGAAATATGCTGTTTAGCTTACTCTGACTAACACCCTCATTTATCAGACTGCACCTATAGTGTTCCAATTACATTATTTACTTTATAAAATAACCTCCTCTCAAAGTACTTTATTGTCTCAAAGTGTCCATTATATAGTGGCTCCACTGTATGACATTTTCCTCTTTCTTTTCCTTTAGGGTGAATTAGCTCATCGCTGGTCCATTAATTGCTGTAATTATATTTATAACAACTGGAGCCCTTTCAATGCTTATCCTATTATTATTGCATGGGAATATTACCAGAAGAACATGGTACATGTATGTGTACGTAATAAATATAATATTAATTATTTTTTACATTGTAGAATAACTAATTTGTTATTTCTGATTTTGAAATTAAAAGGCTACTGATATGAGAGAGGTAAATTAACATGTATTACTCATTAAGTTAAATTAACGATTATTATGATAGTGGTTATAAAGACATTCTTGAGGCAGTTGGATCAAGTGAAGAATTAACATCATCATCATCATCATCATCATCATCATCATCATCATCATCATCATCATCATCATCATCATCATCATCATCATCATCATCATCATCATCATCATCATCATCATCATCATCTAGCTGAGTCCTGATCTCTACCTCCCTCCTCACCTGGAAACTGGTACATACATGTATGTACATTTAATATACCATATAGTGGTTTTTAGGGTGATAATTTTGCAGATGGCCTATATCCGAAAAATCACGGAATTAATTGTCGCAAGTTTCTACTTTTCTGCCATATTATACTGTATTAAATTGATTTTTGAAGAATTTAATTTCATAAATTTAAAAAAATCTGCAAAATTTATTATCCTCTACAAAACCCGCTATATGGTAACCAGCCTTGTGTTTTGTTTGATGGTGTTTTAAAGTAGTTTGGGATCTATACAGTAGTCTTGGTCTTTGTTGTGCATGTGCAATACACCAATACTGTGTAGTGCTTTGATTTGGCAGAGTGGGGGTTTTCAAGAGGAATCTCCAGTATTAAAACTGCTAACCATTAATGCTCATGCTCAGTAATTGCCAAAATAAAGCACTGCTACAATAAAGTGCTATACGATAGTATACAGTAGTATACAATGGTATAGAGTAGTATGCGATAGTATACAGTAGTATACAGTGGTATACAATAGTATACAGTGATATACAGTAGTATACAATTGTATACTGTAGTATAGCCGGTTTCAGTTGAGTTTGACTGGTGAAGCACCTTTATTACTTTCTTGTTACCATATAAGTGGTTTTTTAGGGTTCTAAATTTTGCGAATTTCACTACACTTTCATTTCTCGACTCACTTTCATTTTAAAATGATGTAATTTACACATTTACACTAACTGACTGATGTGTACTTACAAGCACATATCTTAATTTGAAAAGGTACTTAAGCACCAGCACAAAGCACATCAACTTATATAAAAATGTACTTAAGTACAAGCACAAGCACTTTGAAACCTGTGCTTATTTGTGCTTAAGTACAAGCACTAAGTGCTTGACCCCATGTCTGCTCTGCTTTCATACTATACCAAATTTTACCAAAAAATTGATGTAGTAAAGGATCTGAAGTTCCTTGGACTTGGCTATTATTATGATTCACTCACAGTCGAAAGACTGCTCAAAATTATCATTAACAAAACCTTAAGGGTGCTGCCTATAGCAACAATTATTTTATGCAGGAATGCTTAAGCCATACAAGTGCCCCATATAAGAATCTTATTAGGTTCTTTACACTCCTCTAAAAATGGGTTTCAATTTAATGAAAAACCTTTAAGAAAGGGACTGGAAATATCTAAAGCTGTAAAATGAAGTTTAGATTTTGAAATTGGTGTTTTATGCCAGAAAAATGCAAACTTTCGAAAAACTTTGACTGTGGTGATCAGAATCAGACCAAATTTACAATAGAGCCTCTTTACATGATTACACATACAGTAACATAGAGATATTTCAATTAAACAGGGCTAATATAGGAAAATGTGGTGTTGAGCAATACAAAAATCAAATTAAGTGGCATTACAAGTAGAAAAGGAGAAATATCTCTATGTTAATCAATTTGTTTAGTTAAAAACTGCCTTTACCTAGAAATCTAGTTATTCAAACTGAAAGTGAGAGGAGTTTTTCGCTTTTGAAAATTCTTCAGTATTTTAGCTCTTGATGCCATATTTATTATGAGCTAAAGGCTCTAAGCTAGCTTACTAACTAATTTAGTTACTGTCTTGTAACTAGTACTGGTTTCTTTATGATTGGTAAAGTACTTTAGGAAAAACAGCTCCCTTAGCAACAGATTAAAAAAATTGCGTGGGCGGTGGTGCAGCACCCTTAAATACATTTTTCATACCCACCATATTAACTGATAATAACTACTAATTATCATAACAAGCTAGATTGTAATAATAACACAATAATAATGATAAGAGTAATAATAATAGTGATAATAATAATTTAATAATAATAATAACAATAACAATAATAATAAATGCTAAGAATAATAGAATAATAGAATAATAATAATAATAATAATAATAATAATAATAATAATAATAATAATAAATCGTACAGAGAATAACAATAATACCAATCATATTATCACAATTGAGAATGCAGCAATGCTTGAAAATGGCTCTATTTCTGATTGTCCTATGATTCTGGTGTCAATGATAAGTCTAAAATTTACTCCAGCTAAACTTAATAAATAACACATCAACTACATGTATACAAATGTACCTTTATGCTGAATGGATATAATTTATCATTTGGAGAATGTGATATGGCATGGCTTTGCCATGTTGATTTTTGTCTTTTATTAGCTCATGGCACCACTTGTTGCATAAATGTGAAATCATGGCTGAAAACCTGTGAAGGTATTCAAAACAGAATGCCACTTATAAAAGGTCTATAATAATTGCTTGCTCAAAGGAAAGCCTAGGCGGCCCTGGGGATATCCTTTGCCCAATCTTTTATTCTGGAGCCTTGAGGAAGTTGTCATTCTGTTCTGAGCAGCCATTAATGAACATGTGATATTAAGAGAATGTGTATGATATGTACATTAAAGAAGTAGTAGATATATAATGGATAAACATGTATTTCTCTGTTTTGTACATATTTGTATGGAGAAATAGTTACAAGTCGTCATTTGGCTCAAGCTAGCGTACACTTGTGGTATTTTGTTGCATAGCTTTAATGTAAAAGTCGGAAACCTCATTCATATCATTATTCATTAACATAAAAAAAAATTTTAAACAAGTATAATGTACATGTATTTATGAAATATTCATTCTGTGGTATATTAAACTCACAGGCTTAAAAGCTGGTCATAGGTTTTCCACCCCCTGCCCTGTGTCTCTGGGCAATATCATCTTGAAAAACTTGTTACTCATTTTCAATTAATTTCTGTGGATGGTATCATCAATTGCAAGAGGGCACATTAGAGTAACTCACCTTAGCTTCAGTTTTTCTTCTCATTGAATTCAATGCATTTCTGATGTGTTTGCTTGCTACCTCCTGGTCTAACATGACAATGCTTCCATCATCCAACTTATAGGAAGCGAGTAGCTTCTGTATCAATTAATAACAATCACAATAAAACATCATTTTTTCAATACACAAGTAAACCTTGCAACATTATCTAACAATGTTTGTTATATGCTCATTTTCATGCAAATCTTCCTTAAATGTATAACAATTAATTTTTTCATTTACACATTTTTTCAAATGGCTTTACATATAATTTGAGTTGTTTGATGAAACTCTACTTTACCCTAAAGCAAGGTTGCACATATCGTGTGCAACGAGTATGTTTTACTAACTTAAATGGAATGGCATTGACCTTTGGAGAAAGAAGTTATGAGAAATTGGAAGACTTGTGATGGAAATATATGTGGTTACTTCGATCTGTTGTCAGATGTTTGTGCCGATACTACTCCCCAGCCATTCCTACTAATACAAGGAAGACTTATTTATAATTGTGTATAATTATAACTCACTCCAAACTCTTGATTGTCCTAATGTAATATAAAATACTTTCCAACAAGGCTATATGCATTATCGAATCCATGTCCTTGTAGCCTGCTTCAAGATAAAGGTGACACAACTCATCTCTACATTAACCTGATGATTATCATTCTGGGTTGGTATCATTCTGGGTTGGTGGACAGTGCCTTGAAGCTATTGCTCACCTAAGGAGTGTAGCCTGACTTTGACAATTTTTGCAAACTCACTATAGATCAAATTTTCTTAATTGAGCTTTCTGTTGTTAGGAATAGAAATGGTTTCAACTTCATCATTTAATCTGATCCATAGCTTTCTTTATCAACACTGGATTATCAGTATTTCAACCATCTTAGTATTCATGAAAATGCCTGCAGACAGGAGCACATTTAAAAGATGTCTTCACCAATGTTGATGGATCTCATTTTGTTGTAACATCAAGGTTGAAGGGTTAATATCAAGGTGATTCAAGGTATCTTGCTCACTTGAGTGGACAAACTTCATTCCTTCTATATCCCTACAGTGTTAAGGTGACACAACTCATCTTTGCTTTCATTTGACCATGTGCTTACCTGAGGTGTATAGCCTGATATTGACAATTTGTACGAATTCACTAGATAAGCTTTTATTTACTGAGCTTTCTGTTGCAAACATTGAAATTGGTTCTTGCTCCAAAAATTATAAAATGCTTACCTTTAGCAGGTGGGTGGCCCATTTCCCTTAAGCACCTTCATTTCAGTTACTGTATTGTGTGCTAATCATGCAAATATGTACATTTAACAACTACGATCTTCATTTTCACTCTTGCTCTTCAAATAATCTGTCACTAACTAAACCACCTTACCTCAATTGATAGTGGAGTTTGTGGTGGCTTGCAATGATAAGAGATACAAATTCACCATGGTTGGTGCCATTTTCAATCACTTCACTAAAGGGACAATCTTTATGCTTCCAATGACTAGACTAGTACTAATGAAGCCAAATCTTAGCCATCATGGGCATTGGCCCTTGGAAGACTATTGGTTTTTGTCGGCTCTATTTTGTATCATCTTGCGCAGGTAAGATATTTTCTGGTGGATGATGTGTGGCATCTTTTTTATATTAGCACTTTTTGTCATTCACTTTTTTGTATTTAAAGCCTATGTCCTTCACTAGTGGGAGCAGTAAGTCCTCTCTCCATTAAAAGCTCTGTCTTCCCATAATGTATTGAGTGATTGACACATGTAGTTATTGTCAAGTTCAGTGGAGTCCCTTGACTACCTCCAGCTCCTCTTGTTTCTTGATTTGAATGTCTTCAACATTCATTTCAATGCCAGTACTGAAGTAGTAAAAGTTTGTTCTTCTCTATTACAAAGGATCATTATCAGGAATGCAGGCAGTATCCTGTTACTAGTCCTAATGAATGTGTCTACTAATATGGCACAAGGTCAACCTGACTGGAAAAATCTCCAAAAAAATTCTGACTTAGAATCTATTTTTAACTTTAAACACAACATAAAAAAAACATTTAATTATTCTACATGTGTTTGAGTTAATCGTTAATGATTGA